ATATTAGTTTTAATGCATACAAATGAACATTCTCAATATTATACATGAGGATAATGTATAAAAGAAATGAACATTCGTTATTTAGGCATATAAATATATATGTAAACTGAAATGAACCAATATTAACATATATTTTAAAATGAACATTACTTTATATGTAAATGAACATTATGAATTTCATAAATGATCAAAAGATTTGATAGAATAAATAAGTCAGTTTCTCAACTCAAATGAATGATTATTTATGCATTTCATAAATGTGCATAACATATCATAAAAATGAACATTATTTATTTAGGCATATAAAGTCAAATATAAACTCAAATAAATTCAAATATACAAATGAACATTTATAATTCTATATATGTTCATATATTAACTCGGAATCGTAGAAATGTTAACATCTATACCATAAGACTTTTTAATATCTTTTAAAAGTTCTAGATCTACAACTTGAGACTTTTGTTCGTTGTTTTTTTTTTAAAAAAAAATTTCTACTCTTGTTTAAATAGGTTTTTGAAATAATACTTACGTTTCTTCAGACTATGCCTTGTTATGTTCAACGAACATGATTCTTCTCTGAATCATCATTCTCTTTATCTCTCTAATTCGAAATATATTTTTCGGTTCTGTAAAAAATAAAAAAAACACAAAACATAGTAGATTTTAATGATTTTTGCATAAAATAGTTCTAATCAAGTTAGATTATGTTTCTGAACATGTAATTTCAAAATGAAATACGTAGTAGAAAAAATAGGTTCATACAAAAAAAATTAGTAAAATTACTTACTCTTTCTGTGAATGTTGTTGCGATTGTTGAATTTCTTCGCAAATGTAGACATTTGAAGGAATTTAGCAATATTTTGAAGCAATTTCGTAGTATTTTGAAGCAATTTTGTAGTATTTTGAAGCAATTTTGGTTCATATTTTCTAGTTTTGATGAGAGAGAAAGTCTAGAGAAATGAAGAAGAAGGTTTTAGAGAGAATGGTAGGTAGTTACAGTAGGTTAGTGGGTTATGGGATGTGGGTAACATGATAAACGCATCGTTTAGAGGGGGGTGTAGGTATCCCTACCTACACTAGGGTCTAGTGTATACCAATTACTATACTTTCTTCTATTGGCGTATCATTTAGATCAGCCTAGACCATGACCAGACAACCCCTATATTTTTCTTTGTCCATAATATTGTTTAGGCTTTCGCGGAAGAAAGCCTCATCATCGGCCACCAGTAACCGGTGTATTATATACAATCATGAAAATCAAATAATGTAACTACTTCTATAAATATAAATTCAGAAGATTAATATTGATTTCACAACTTGTTAATACATTGTGTTGCGTTGTCGTAAATCAACGCCCCTTCTTTTTTCAGCCTCCAAATTTGGTTTTTAGGTTTTCTTTGCATTCTTTCTTTCTTTTGCGTACAAGGTTTTGTGTTCGGTATATATACCAATATACCATGAATTATTTTAGTTGGTGGAAAATGTACGGTTGCTAATACTTAGAAATTCAATAAAAATTGGTTCATATTAAATTTAATTAATGAAAATGTACAAATGTTAATATTCGAATTATATATCAAACTACTTGTATATAAAGTTTAGAGTAGAAAAGCACTTATTAAATAGGAAAAAAAAAGACAGACTTTTTAAATTACATAATCCTTTGATTAGAATACATTTAAGAATAATATATACAAGTCATCTCTTTTGAAGAGTTCTTACTAGATCACTACAAAAATCCTCTCTATTTCAAGATTATCTACATATATAGTGAGAAGTACAAAAACTAGTGTTACGAATAAATAATACAAGTAAAAACTTTGTATGTCATACCTTCTCTATTTCTTCAAATTCTTTTTGTATTTTTAATACATATTTCTTCAAATGCTTAGGAAAAGGTCACCAAAATGTTCTTCACACTTATCTTAAACAATAGTGTCTTTAACCTTTTCTATCCATCAAATCATTTTATTTAACACTTAATTACATCCCTTTAATTATAATTGTTTTTCTAATTCAACTTGCATTAATAAAATTTAACGTCCATATCCACTCATGTGTGAAGAAAATTACGGGACTAGTCATATGATTAGCTATTAGATTAACATGCATTGATGTTGAATGAATTGTGCACGGGGACAAGTATGATCTGTGTAGGGGCTCTTGGTATAAGAGGAAGGACGACGACGGTGACAAAGGAGGGGGTGATGATACGTCGAAATCGACGTCTCCATCGGAAAGTCACACGCTTACGAGTTGGAAAAGAAACGCCTTTGATGATGCCTATAGCCACAAAAGGCAAACGAATGAATCCAAACTAAGATCAGGTTGTTTATTAATTGCACTTTGCCCTTAAATACAAATGTGTGACTGGTCTTACCATCTTAGATCTTCTTCATGGGACCTTTTTTGCTTCCTTGCTACCCACCAACCTAACTATTGCTTACTATACGTTTACTTAAATTCTTTGGAGATCTAATTACATATATTCATCTTACTCTTAAGAAAATAAATTCATTGAATCATTTAAGGTGTACAGATGACATTTAAACAACACTATTAACTTTTGATAAAATTAGTTTAATTTAGTAGTATTTTTATTTTTTCCCGTCAAAAAAAAAAGTAGTATTTTCATTTTAGGGCCCAATTTTACAAAGTTACACTTGACCATAGTCATTATTAGCATATATAGCCCTGCCGGCCTCTCACTTTCACCCAATGAACCACCATATTGTTTTTAATTATACTAGTTTAGTTTAGATTCACACTCGTTAATTTGATTAAATTAGTATATTTGTGCAATCTTACATCATAGTACACAATAGATTTTCAACGTTCTTTTTGTCCCCCTTTAGGACCATTTATAAATTACTTTTGTGGGTGGGGGAAGATCCTTTGAGCAATACTCTAGATGGAAAATGATAATGTTTAGCATGGGAGACTTCATGGGTGGTGATTTGAAGACATCATTTTTAAAAAAATTCCTTGTTCTTACTTTTTTTTTAAAAAAAATTTACTTTATCAATTGTCAACTACTCTCTCTATCCCTATTTTTTTGTCCCATTTAACTGTGCACAGTCCCCAATACGCGTCTTAAAACCTCTATATTTTTATTTCCATAAACGTAAAAATTATAAAACCGTGATATTAATAAAATATATAATGAGACGAATCTAACAAGACCACTCATGACTATATTATCTTTTATAGATTAACGGTAATTTATGGTCAAAGATTTCAAAAATTTATCCCAAAAAATAACAATGGGGCAAAAATAAAGAAATAGAAGAAGTACATATCTAACCGCTACTTTATTACACAATAGGAAGTACAAACCAAATCATATTCCAAAAGTCAAAACCGCTCAAGTCATCCAACAGCAAATTACATGAATTGCATATAACGAACTTATGTATTTATACTTATTGGGCTGATAAAGTTTACTTCGTACAATTTAGTGTATCACACACTAATTGTCGGATGCTAATGCATGTATCGGTATATATATGTGATATGTTCAAGTAAGTCTCTAATGAATTTGACGATTGTGTTACCTTGTGCTGTAATTAAGAGAATGACATAACACTTATAAATCCGAGTTTTTTTTTCTAAACATCACCCATGTATACCCAATATTTTGTCAGCCACGTACGTCATATACCCTAATGTTCGAGATTTTTTAAAGGGTAACAGTAGGACACATAATGGACCAAACTACTCAAATTTAAGTTGAAATTTCAAAGTCCATAAATTGAACTTTGCCTATTGTGGACAGCAAACAAAGCGTACAAATACGTAGAAGAATAAGATGGATGGCACATTACATCAACGTTATTACAAAGTTAAAGTAATTTAAATCTTCTATAATTGAAATTTGAAAAGATAAATTATACGAAGTATAATCAATCATTAATTTAATATATATCATTAATAATGTACTCTTATTAATATGTTATAACTCTAGTGTGAACCAATGCTTTAACTAATTAAGATCATATCACTAATAAACTAGGCATCACACAATATTCTCCAACACATACAAAATAATGTCAACCAAGAAGAGGTGAAGATACAAAAGATAATGGCATTAGAGGGCGAAAAATTAATTTTTTTACTTAATTCATTTAAAGAGGTAAAATAAACCACCTTTTTTTTTTTTATCTAATTCAAAGAGGACAAAAAAGATCTTAGTTGTCCTCTGAAACTAGTACAAAGACAGTAAGAGGTCGGGTGATTACGTTGCCTTCTTCGATCTTATATCTTGTAATACGTGAATACCACTCATAAGCTTTGATTGGGAGGAAAAACGAAAAACCAACTAACAAAGGTCACAAGATTCTAAGTCTGTAATAAATAAGATCGATTAATGAGCCTTCTAATTATAAAATGAAGGCTCATGGCTTCATCCATTTATTAACACGGAACAACATACATATTCGTACTTGTACCCGACACATAAACAAACTCTTTCCAATCAAATTACATACCATTGCAATTCCCTAAGACCAAACAACAAACTAATAATTTTGTAAAACCAAAGTAAAGGGAAAAGAAAGAAGAAAAGGAGTGGAAGGGAGCGAGTGAGAAAGCAAAGTGGGTTAGCTTGGCAATGTAGTAAGACAAGAGGGTGTATAGGAAGTCATAGATAATAGAGCACCAAAGTTGGTAATTCAGAGGATCCGACTACCTCTTCTCACAACATCCTACTCTATTTGACATGTCTACCTCCAACACTCCCATTCCTACTCTCACACTCTATTTGTAGCACTATTTCAATTCAATAACCATCCTTTTTTTTATTCATTTGCTGCTGTTTTCCCATTTCATCATTGCCTCCAACTCCACTATTTCTCTCTATTTCTTTGCTTTCTTCATACTATCATTCATTTATTGCCTCCATCTACCTCAACTATTCTGAGTGTATACATACATATATATATATATATATATATATATATATATATATATATATATATATATATATATATATATATATATATATATTTCATGTGTATGTTTATTGAGTGTACTACGCTATTGGCTTAAGAGTATGATGAGAGATCCTCGTCTTTCAGTTCTCTTACTATTTGCCGTCTCCATCTTCGCACTCTTCACCTCCCCCTCTTCTTGTAAGTTACTACTTAGGTAACCTAATTCACTAATTTCCATGTAATATAATTGATTATGCTTAAGCATAAACTTTTTTTTTAATTGTTTCCCAAATTCTTCATCATCTTATGATCAGCTAATTTAATAATCTTTTGCTAGAATAATTCTTTCTATTAATATCTATGATGATTAATGAATTGACTTACTTATTTGATGTGCTTGTTAATCAGCTAGAGATATGAAGCTGTACATGCTCAACTGTAGAAATCATGAGTTGCAGCAAGTTCAGGTAAACATAAATTACCTCCTAAAGCTTACACTTTTTTTTTTTTTTTTTTTTTTTGCATGTTAGAGAACTATAATCATATATATGTTACACCTAATTAATTTGAAATAATTAAGTTAGCTCCTAATTAATCTTTTAGTAATTATAATTAAGTGAAAGGATATGGTGGTGATTCTGACTAGTGACATTATCCTGACGAGATTCTCTCTGTCACCCCCATTTCAGGTTTCAATTATAATACCCATCATCTATTATTGTACTACTCACTACTCAGCACTCACCCCACTTATGATTTTTTAGGGTGAGAGAATTAGGTTAACAGATGCATTTATTTTAGTCCTGTTACGGTAATTCTGTGGGTTTTTTTTTTTTTTTTTTCACAGTTGCAATTTTCAAGCTTCCCTTGCACTCCGTGTTAGATTTTGTCCTAAATGATAGATCACATTTCTATTTAGGTTGTCCTTAAATTATAAGCTTCTTTCTATATGTAGTAAATTACTTTTTGAAGTTTCCTTATATTAATCTTATAGACAGAAGCATTGAAATAAACTTAAATCTTCAATGGCAGGTGAAAAGGGAATAAAATCAAACAATAAACAGATTTTTTAAGTCGATTTCTCACCTAACAAACAAAATTATGAATGAAACGATTCCTTTGGCATATCACCATTTTTTTGTGCGGAGTACATGTGAAGGTTAAGACGTAAATAACGTACATGTAAACACCACCAAGTTCGAAAAGGTAACACTATAGAGGGATTGGGGGTAACATTGATGATGACGGGCACCTTCAACTTAGCAATATAGTGATGGAGTACATTATTGAAGATGCTTTATAGGGTTATAGAATAAACATATAATACAGTTAATGTTAATTTTATTTCTATTTATAAAGGGTATGGCAGCGTATACAGCGGAGCTTTAATTTACATGTTGTGATTGTAGTCAAGCAGAGGCTAAGCTAAACATGCACCCCCGTGAACTTGTCTTGGCCATATCCAGTACTTGTGTTTGGAAACTATCAATTTCCAACCAGAATTTTATCTGACAAAACTATAAAATGTTGCTTATCACTATTAGTCTCTCTTGTCTTTTGTTTAAGACTAGTCTCGTAATTTCCTCTCGCCGCGCTTCAATCGTCGGTGCACATGTGTATTGCATCCCCTGCATAGTCTCTCCCATTTCTTGGCCTATATTGTTGGTTGCAATGCCGTCTCATTATGACACGTATGTCATATTGTACACTTGTACATGTAGGCATGTAGCCTATTTTGCTCGTGTTTTAGTGTTATTAAATGTTTAATATTTCTACTTTTAGGCTAAGGCGTTATTCATGACTTAAAGACTAACAAAGTTATAACAATATCTAAAACAATATGAAAATTGCAGAAGATTATAAATGGTGCAACAAGCAGCAAAGATGAAAGCAATGTAGCAAGGAGAATTCTAAGAGGGATAGGTTCATCCCCACCACGCTGCGCATCTAAGTGCGGCAAGTGCAGACCATGTAGACCAGTTCACGTTCCGGTGCCTCCAGGGACACCCGTTACTGCCGAATATTACCCTGAAGCATGGAAGTGTAAATGTGGTAACAGGTTGTACACCCCTTAAACAAAAAAGCTAAATACTCAATCTTCATACTAATATCCACATATTGGCTTCTCTTATTTGCATCACCGCATGCTTCCTTTGGCCTCGTTCTCACTGATTACATAGAATTAGGGTACCATACTAGTGTAATGATATTGAAGAACATGTGACACCGTCGAAATCCCGTCTACTTTATTATTGGTTATACATGGTGATTGATTACCTAATAAGTTCGCCATACTCGCCATTATTAGTTATTATTGTAAATAAAGTAGCAAATAGTTCTATTGATTGTAAATACTAAATACTTGGTATAATATTTCTAGCACCTTATACAAGCTTGTATATACTTTGAAAATCAAGAAGACCCTGCATTTTAGTGGTGTAACAGCTTATATTATGCAATGTTCTGGATGCCTCAAGTTCATCTCGAAGTTTATTAGTGTCACTAGATTCGACCTCTAATGGCCTTACAAAGGCGTTTATATAGACAATAATATTGAACTGAATGAGGCTTTAGTTGTAATTTAGGATCTTGGTAAACAGTACTTGACATTATTTTTGGACCTAAGGACTGGATATCAGAATCATACTTGTACTTCGTAAGTAGTATAATATTATTGATTAATTAAATGTCAATCAATATTTATATATTTAGTTGGTCTGATGCTTGTGTTTCCACTACTTAAGTCTTAAGAATAGTGCATACCATTTTCGTTATTTCTTATATAGATGACTGATGGTCTGTCAACATTGTCCGGTATATATAGAAAGCTGGCATACACAGCCGACTAATTTTAATATATAAGTTAAGCAACTGGTCAACTAACAAATACTTGTATTAAAGTTTGACCACCATGGGTTAAGGTTACCGGTGCCGACCATATTAGATCCTTACAATCCATACGTCATAACCTAAAAGGCTAAAACCACCTGCCCTGGCCTTAAAAAATAGGTATAAACATTGTGCCAATATAATGATAATACTCCCACAATTGAGTCGCTAGAAGAAAAAGTGTAACAAGTGTACATGGACACTTAATAAATACTTTGTACTTCGTATAATTAAATTTTGATTATAATTATTTGATATATGTAAAACTCTGTACAAATAAAGAAGGAAGATATGGACCTTTAAAGTATTGAATTGCAATATTAATATAGATTAGTTAAATATGGAAAAAAAAATAAAAAATTCACACTTATTGCATTAATTTGATTCATTTTAATAAATTTTGTCCTGAAAATGAGTTAGTTATACTAGAGCGATCTAAAATAGATGTGATATTTTATGACATAGGTCGGAGAGGGTGGATTGTGTATTGTCTCTATTACACTAGGCTAGTAGCCTTTATGTATAGAAGAATTTAACTAGAGTAAATTCAAATCAAAGAATACAAATTGATAAACTAATTACTCTTAATTTAGTATTAACTTGATCCATTTCGAATAAAGGAAAAAAATCCAATCTGAATTTAATATATAGAACACAACGTATGTCATAAACCTAATAGGTTAGGTAGGATGGGACTCTATCATACATTTTAAACTCGTTGGAAATCAACTAGATTTTCAGCATACCAAGTGATAACAAAAGTAAAGCCAGGCAAGATTGATGGCTACTTTCAGAAATCTAAATTACACATTTTTGTAGTGCACACTACTTCTCAATGGCTTGGGTCTTAACTAGCCGTCAACCTCATACTACGGTAGTACCCCATCTTGCATTTGTGCCTTTTGTGGCGTTCGTTGTCTTCTTTTAATCTTTTGCATTCATAATAAAGCATGTCATGTAATTCCCACTTGCATGTAGGCTAAATGATAGGCAATCATACAAGTGTTTGAAGAAAATTCCGGAAAAACTTTTAACGTAATCTCCTTACAATTGCACCATTTATATGACCGTATCTTATCCTTCTTTCTATTTTTTTTTTTTATTTCTGTAATTTGACTTTTATTACTCTAGTACTCATTACTTTTAATTCACACATGCCCTAAAACTAACAAGCTACTTCCATAATTAACAATTGTTTCTAATATTAATGTTCGACTAGATTATCCTAAGATATAAACATTATATGTATAAGTTTATGTAATACTCCCTAGTAGTATTACTATGCTTTTTAATTAGCACTTTCATAATATTATACACAAAATCTATCCTTTACAAGTCATGCTGAAAACCACAATCACATAAAGTGTACCTTAGGTAATTATCATATACATCATCAAAAACAAAGTTTTAAAACAAGTCCTACGGTGATACATGCACCACTTTCATTTCATAAACCTTATTTTACTAAAGAAAATCACATAATCAGTCAATTATGGTTTAAATTAAAATATCAATTTAGGTTTTTATCTACAACAAGTTTAATTTGAATATATGTATGTACTTCCTTATCTCTTAATGTTATTTCATTTTTAATTTTCACTTTATTGTCATACTATTTTTTATATTCTCCTAATATTGATAAATGGCAAAGACACAGAATGTAAGATGAGGAGAGATAAATTTTTTAAAATGATAATGTTTCAATATTAAGAGATCGACGAAGAAATAAACAAGAGTTGTACAAAGTAATTAAGAATCATACTATTAACGTAATATAGAATAAAAAATGGGACAATTCTTTTAAGCAACTTAGAAAGGTATAGACAATCTTTAAAGACGAAGAGAATAGACGCGATCAGCACAATGCCTTATAAAATCTCTTTGACACGCCGTCCTTATGGAATGTGTCCTTAAAACATTAATGAAGCCATACAAATCAAACTGAAAGAAAAACTAAACCGTGTTGCCTGATGATCTGTCCCCACTTACATATGAGCTAGATGAACACGTGGAGGACCCTTAATGGTTCTACAGCTATTCATTTTCATATTTTAAAAATAAAAATCACCGTCTACTTGGTCCCAATAACTTGTACCAAACCTTGGAATCAATGGTCAGAAATACAAATCAACTAGCCCCTTGTCCACTTCAACGGTTCAGATTAACCTAACATCTTGACTCTTTAAGCTATAATAATAATATACTTTAATTATTGACGTAAATAATTACAATAAATTAAATATTTTTGTTTCTATAAAAATGAATTAGAAGTTTCTAGGCCAGCATTAAAAAGGCTGTTATTAATTTCCACCATTGTTGCAAATATATACAAGGAAATAATAAGACACGTAAATTATAAGACAGCCTTATAATCTCAAACTCCAACTAAATATCAACCTGCCAGCTCAAAAGAACCATTTGAAATTTCGAAACCTTCTTCTTTTTCTCTCTCTTTTAAAACATCATCATTTTCTCTCTTTTTTTTTTTTTTTAATTTCGAAAAAAAAAAACCAGAGATTGAACTCGAACATAATATTATTATTATTATGATCGAGTTACAATACAATCTATAATCAGTGAAAAAAAATTCATCAATGGAAAAAGGCGCGCTATTTGGAAAATACGAGGTGGGGAGGCTGCTAGGATGCGGCGCCTTCGCCAAAGTATACTACGCAAGGAACATTCAAACCGGCCAAAGTGTGGCGATCAAAGTCATTAACAAGAAGAAGATTGCAGGGACGAATCTAATGTCAAACATCAAAAGGGAAATAACGATCATGGCTCGTCTTCGACACCCGAACATCGTACGTTTGTACGAGGTTCTAGCGTGCAAGACGAAGATTTATTTTGTGATAGAGTTCGCTAAAGGTGGGGAGCTCTTCGCTAAAGTTGCCAAAGGCCGATTTAGCGAAGACCTCAGCAGAAAGTATTTCCAACAGCTAATCTCAGCTGTTGGATACTGTCATTTTAGAGGGATTTACCATCGAGATCTTAAACCTGAGAATTTATTATTGGATGAAAATGGGAGTCTTAAAGTTACGGATTTCGGGTTAAGTGCGGTTAAGGATCAGATCCGACCCGAGGATGGGTTGTTGCATACGTTGTGTGGTACACCCGCTTATGTAGCACCGGAGATTTTGTCGAAGAAAGGGTATAATGGTGCGACGGTTGATGTATGGTCGTGTGGGATAATATTGTATGTTCTTACAGCTGGGTATTTGCCGTTCAATGATCCTAATTTAATGGCTATGTATAAGAAGATTTATAAAGGAGAATTTCGGTGTCCGAAATGGATGTCGAATGATCTTAAGCGTTTGTTGGGTCGTCTCCTTGAAACGAACCCGAAGACTAGGATTACTATTGATGAGATAATACATGATCCTTGGTTTAAGAAAGGTGGGTTGTTTAAAGATAAAGGTCCGGAGTTTGAGTTTCAGTTTTACCATGATTGTTATAGTGATGATTTGGATGACAGCTTGAAGTTGTTTTCTGAACAACAACAGCAGCATCATCAGCAGGTGGTGGAGGCGGGTGCGAGTACGAGTAGTAGCACTAGTACTAGTGTGAGTGCGAGTACTAGTAGTAGTAGTAGTATTCCATTGAATGCATTTGATTTGATTGCATTTTCATCAGGGCTCGATTTGTCGGGTTGTTCAACGAGTCTTACAACCCGTTCGTGGATGGTGAGAAGTTCTTATCGGCTATGTCAGTGGATAAGATCATTGCTAGCATTGAAGAAGCCGCCGGTGAGCTGAACGTGAAGTGCCGCAGGAGGAAGGATTGTGTGGTGGATTTGGAAGGTCCGAAAGGCGATTTTATAGCTAGGTGGAGATTAACCAGCTAACTGAAGAGCTGGTAGTTGTTGAAGTGAAGATAAAAGGGGGAGAATCTGCATCCTATAAAAAAATTTGGAAGAAAAAGTTGATGCCTAAACTTTCTGGGTTAATATATGACCCTAACTCACAACCTGATGAGGAAACTGATATAACGAATGATGAAGTCGAAGTTACTCCTGCTGTTGCTTCTACTGAGTGATTTGATATTCTAATAGTAACGCTATATTGCTACTAATCCATTACATCATGATCATCATCCGAAGAAATGTTGATACATGATATAAGAATTCTCATCATTTTGCGTGTTTTATTGGAAATTAACATCAATCAGGTTTAGTAAACGCGGCAGCTGCAAGCTGGGGTGGCTTAGAGCTTCTAAAGGAAAGCCGGTATGCTATTGAATCCGAGAATGGAAGTTATTGTT